TTTTTCATATGACTGTTGGCCATTTGTATATCTTCCTTAGAGAATTGTCTGCTTAGCTCTTTTGCCCATTTTTTAATTGGGTTGCTTGTTTTCTTCTTGTAAAGTTGTTTGAGTTCCTTATATATTCTGGATATTAGTCCTTTGTCGGATGTATATTTTGCAAATATTTTCTCCCACTCTGTTGGTTGTCTTTTATGAGCTGATATTATTTTTTGAAAAACACAGGGTTTTATTTTTATTTAGAACAGCCAATCTTATTACCTCATAATATGGCTAAAACACTGTTTATTCATTATGCATTTTTGTTTCACTGTTAACGTTTGTTTAAATTTACTTATTTTCAATGTATTAATTTTAATGGTAACTTGTTTCTTCTTTACACATTGACTCAAAGTGAACTGGATACTTGGACAAATTGAGATCACTGTTTTCGTAGAGACCACTCCATTTACAAGTGACTCAGGTTCTAGGCATCATATATTACAGGCACTTGCATTCATTTTTAAGAAGTTAATTTTTTCTCTTTCTGTTTACGTTTCTTAGGATTTGTTATCTTACATACTTTCAGCATTCAGATTTGATATAAAAGAAGTTGGTCTTTTCGCCCAAGGTCTTGGGTATGCTCCTGTAGATTACTGTCCTGGTTTGCTTAAAAATGTGAGTATTTTTGATTTATTAGTATTGAAATTTTCATTGCTGAATGTACCATCAGCAAAAAGGGTAAATGGAAATATTTCACTCCTCCTGGAGAGATGTTTGACTTTTCTTTGTTTATCTCTTCTTACCTTGGGTAGACTTAGGGCCATGTAGGGAAGAAATGTGAGACGGGAGGTTATGAGAAAGAAGAAGGAAACAAGGTTTTATTAAATCAGCTGGTCAACCTCTCTTCCTCATAATACATCTCACTTATTCACGCAAAGATTTTGGGGAGAAGAGCTTTTCTCAACAGATATAAACACAGCCTTGTACTGTTGAACAAATCTTGTATTCAAAATAACCTGATTGGAATTTTATGTTAAGGCAAAGCAAAAAATTCAGTAAATAACAACTGTGTAAATAGTATTACATATTTATACTTTAGTATGAAAGCTATGTTTTCTTTTGCCTTAAATTTTAGCCACATTCAACAAATTTTAATTTATGATCTTGACAAAACTATTCTTAAAAATGTTATGAGATTTTTAATGTTTGTTAACCATTCTAGTCTTTTGGAAGCTTTATACATGAAAAACATTTTTAAAAATAAAGAACAAAATGAAGAAAATAAATAAACTAACTCTAGCATATTTTTATTTTTAATGGGTTTGGTTTTTATTCTTAGGAAATTAATGATCTGTCTATTGCTCATTGCCTAAATAGGAATACAGAAAATAGACATTCAACATGAAATCCCGGTTATTAGTAAATGTAACTTGGCGCTGCTTTCTTTTTACTCTGAAAAGGAAAACATAAGGAGAGGATGGGGGGGAGGGAATCTCAACGGAAATATCACTCACACCAAGAAAAACAGAACTGATGTAATCCTGTTTGCAGTATGAGTTAACCTGCAACTGATGTTGTTTTACAGATGGTTTTATCATTAGTGTCTGAACTCAGAGAGAATCATCTTAATGGATTTAACACTCAAAGGCGGTAGGTGTTAAGCTAAACATCCCTTTTCTCAAGTTTCAAAATGTATTAGTTCACTTACGAGAGAAACATTTTATAATTCGTAGGAAATTTATGTTCATAGTTAGGATTATATTGTGAAGAGATTGTTTTAGTGGAATGCATAGCAAATTGTGAGTTTTTTCAAACTTTCTTTTTTTAAACCGTATTCTGTCAACTCTCACAGGGCAGTAAGCAAATCATGCAGTGTCTTTTGTATACCCGTTAGGTAGAAAGTCCTGTGTGTACAGCAGGAAACAGAAAAAAAGAGGAGCACTTCAGCTGACCCTGGGATTGCTCACTCTGTAAGAGGAGAACGTGTCTGCTGCAAGTGTGTGCTCTCATGCTAGCCGGCACCCCCTCGGTGCCCCCCACCCACCTGCCTCTGTGTGTGTGAGTGTAAAGACATACACATACACACGATCAGGATATTGACAAGGCAACGGACATTTGGCGTATGCATATGACCTGTTTTAAGAAACATAATATTCCAAAATCTAGACTAAACAAATCAAATAGATTCAGACAAATTAAAAGGCAATTAATCACATTGCAAATGTTTCTTCACTCTGTGAAAGAATTTAGAGTTGTTTTCATTAGTGAGCATTTCATTTTAAACAAATCATTAACTAAGAGAATCTGGGGACCAAGAGACTTTGTAATTTTTTTGTAAAGCTATTGCCAATTAAAGCTCTATGAGAAATGGTCTTTGCTCTCAGCCTTTAGGAATCCTTTGCGTCTAACCCTTAAAGTAAACTATAAAATTCTTAGAATAAAACATTAGGGAAAAGTTTTATGACATTGGACTTAGTGATGATTTTTTTTTTTTTGATATGACACCAAAAGCACAAGCAACAAAGAAAAATATAGATAAATTGAACTTTATTAAAATTAAAAACTTTTGTGAATCAAAGGACATTATCAAGAAAGCAAAAAGATAACTATTGAATGAGTGAAACATTTGCAAATATCTCTGTTAAGGAATTACTATCCAGAATATATAGTTAACTCCTCAACAACAACAACAACAACAACAACAACAAAAGCCTATTCAAAAATGGGCAAAGGACTTGAATAGACATTTCTCCAGAAAAGATATAGAGCTGGCCAATAACTACATGAAAAGATGTTCAACATCATTAGTCATTAAGGAAATGCAAATAAAAATCATAATAAGATACTACTTCACACCCACTAGGATAGCCATTAAAAAAAAGAAAAGAAAATTGGAAAACAATAGTGTTGGTGAATATGTGGAGAAATTTGAACTCTTACGTATTGCTAGTAGAAATGCAAAATGGTACAGCTGCTTTAGAAACAGTTTGGTGGTGCCTCAAAAAATTAAACATAGAATTACGATGTGACCCAAAAATTCCACTCTTAGATGTACATATGAATGAATTGAAAGCAAGGACTCGAACAGATATCTGTATACCAATGTTCATTATTCACAGTAGCCAAAAGGTGGAAACAATCCAAGTGTTCATCAGCAGATGATTGCATAAACAAAATGTGGTATATACATACAGTGGAGTACTATTCAACCATGAAAAGGAATAAAATTTTGTTGTATGCAAGAGCATGGATGGACCTTGAAAACATCATGCTTGGTGAAATAAGTTTGACATACAAAAACAAATATTGTATAATTTCACTTATATGAGATACATAGAATAGGCAAATTCATAGAGACAGAAAGCAGAATAGAGGTCACCAGGGGCTGCAGGGAGTGGAGAAGTGGGAGTTATTGTATTTTACCACCATAAAAAGTCAAACAAAAAATCAAATATGATGTCACTGCACACTCCCTTGGACGACTAAAATGTAAAACACTCACATTACCATGTGCTGGAGAACATGTAGAGAACTACTGGATCTCTCATACACTGCTTATGAGAATGTGAAACTGTGCCACTGCTTTGGTAAACAGAGTGGCAGTTTATTACATAGTTAAATATATACTTACCCTGTGACCCACCAGTTCCACTCTTGAGTATTTCCTCACAACAAATGAAAACATAGGTACTCACTAATACTTGTATATGAATGTTCATGGCTGCTTTATTTGTGATAGTTCAAAATCAGAAACAAGCCAAAGGGCCATCAACAAATGAATGTATAAAGAAACAAAAAAATCTGTTACCATCATTTAAAAAATGAAAAGACAAGTCATAGACTGAGAAAATATTGTGAAATTATACATCTGATAAAGGGTTAACACCCAGAATATAAAAAGAACTCAGTAATAAGAAGACAGATAACCCAGTTTATTTATATATTTATATATATTTTAAAGAAAATGTAATTTTATTAATATTACTTTTCACATTCTATGATGATGTTGCAGAGCAGTTGGGAGGGAGGGAGAGAGGAGAAAGGGGAGAGAAGTGGGATGGAAGAAGGAGGAAGCAGGAGGGGCGGGATTGAGGCCTGTTGCACCCCCTCATTTCCACATGGGAGATGGGGGGCGCTTCCAGGGGGGCTTGGTCATTGCCGGGCTGGGTGCAGATGTCAGGAGGGTGTGGCAAAATCCCTCACCCCCCACCATCCCAGTTCGGGAACCCGAGGCCCTTCTTGCTGTGGGTTGGTAGTTGTCACTGGGCTGATTGCATGTGTTGGGGGACGTGGCTGAGGCCCAAGGCCTCCCACTGCCCCAGCTTTGGAGAGCCTGGGATGCTTCCTGCAGTGGTTTGGTGATCACTGCTGGGCTGGCTGCGGGTGTCAGGGGGGCATGGCCAAGGCCTGAGGCCCCCCTCCACCCCAAGTCGAGAGAGCCCAGGGTGCTTCCTGTGGCAGCTCAGTGGTCACCGCTGGGCTGGTGCACCTGTCCAAGGGCCCTGGCTGAGGCCATCATCTCCCACCCTTGGGATTGGTTGCAGATGTCAGGGAGCATTGCTGAGGCTCCCAGCCCTCCCCCCTTTCTGGCTTGGTAGTCCTTGGTAGGACTTCTGTTCCTTCTAGGTGTTATAGGTGTTCTTTGGTGAAATGAGACCTTTACTAGTTAATATGAAACTTTGTCTCTGGTTTTGGGTACTTTGTTTTTTCTTTTATTTCTGTGTTGGATTATTTGCTTTTCCAACCATTTGAACTCTGTGCTGGAACTAATTTGTTGTCCTTTGCTTACTTCTAAATGGGGGAACTTCCTGTGAGGACCAGCACTTGAGCTCTGTGGTTGAGCTAAATTTCTGCTTTGCTGCTGATTCCCTAGGGAAGCCTTTTTGTACAGCTAAGGTTTTAATGGTTGACTTTATAGGTACTTCTGGTTCTTGAGAGATCTGGTGCACCTGGTTGTGTAGAAACTCTGGTCTGGGCCTGAGTCTTTTCATAAAACTGCACCTTGTGCAATTCTGTATTCCTGACCAGTCTCCTCTGAGTGGTCCTTCGCTGATTGGGGTGCAGATAAACTGTCCTTGCTGTGCCCCAGTGTTCTCCCAGTGGGCCTTTCTCCCCTACTTGCTCATGCTGCAAACACTTAGATGGGACAGGCTGTGAGCCATTCACTTGTGATGACTCACCTGCCTTTGAATGGCTCCTGATTTTCATTTGTTGTGGCTCCTTCCTCCTATGTGGGTCCACAGGAACCCTATTAGTGGTCTTTCTGGCCTGGGAGCCACTATGGCCCTCTTCCCCCCTGCTGCCTCCAAGCAACTCCATCCAAAGGACACAGCTGCAGCTTTTGCCAGCTCCTGCTCTGTGCACTCAGCAGCTCCACCCTGGATGCGGCTGGGGCTCAAAATGGTCGGAGTGGTTTTTTCTTTCTCTCATTGTGGCTTCTCCTGCCTTCACGAACTCTGTAGGTCTCTCCTCCTCTTCCCCTGAGCTGTAGTATGTGCAGCTTGGCTGTCGTTGCTTTTTTATAGTTGTAAATTGGTTGATTTGTGGGAGAGAGTGATGCTGGGGACTGTCTGTTCTGCCATCTTGACAGGAAGCCTCCCAAATAACCCAGTTTAAAAATGAGCAAAAGATTGGAATGCACATTTCATTACGATATATATATATATATATGGCTAATAAGCACACAAATACTTGTATATGAATGTTCACAGCATTATTTGTAGTAGATAAAAAGTAGAAATAACTCACATATCCATAAATTCATGAATGGATAAACAAAATGTAATATGTCCATACAATAGAATACTATTTCTCAGTAAAAAAGAAATCATCCATGCTGCAAATGTATGAACCTCAAAAACATTATGCTAAGTGAAAGAAACCACTCAAAAGAGCACATATTGTATGATTCAGTGTACATGGAATTTTCAGAATAGGCAAATCTATAGAAACAGGAAGTAGATTTGTTGTTGCCTGGGGCTGGGAGTAAGAACAGGGATTTCCTACAGACGAGTGCAAAGTATCTAAGGTGATGGAAATGTCCTAAAACTAGATGATAATGGTTTTCCAACTCAGTAAATTTGTTAAAAATCATTGAATTGTATATTTTAAATAGTTGAATTTTGTGGTACTATGAAATATACCTAAAAAAATAAGAAGAATTTCTAGTGGGCATGGAAAGTTTTTAGATTCATTTATTTACATGTCAGGTAAGACTTTGATTTAGTTGCAAGGTGAATGTTGAGTAGTGGTTCTTTTGAAGAATGTAATTAAAAATTTAATAAAGGGGACTTGAAAATTGATAGGATGCAATGTGTATGTGCTCACTTCACCAGACTTTCAAAATGTGTCATAGAGTTGATAAATTTTTTAAAAATCAGCTGAGAATAAACAAAACAAACTAATAATTAAAAATAAAACTATTAACAAATGGAAAAGAGCAGCCACAGACTTGGGAGATATTCACAACCTATAAAACTGACAAAGCAGGGGCAGAAAGCCTAAGGGGTTTATGGAACAACATCAAGTCGAACAATATACACATTATGGGAGCACGAGAATAAGTGAGAGTGAAAAGGGAAGAGTTTGTTTGACGAAATACTGGTGAAAACTTCTCAGATCTGAGGAAGGAATTGGACATCTGAATTCAA